AGAGCGAGAAGAGAAGGCAAAGCACGATCATGAAACTATGATCAAGAAGTTATCCTAGAACAACCTACGTCAAGCATAACTCCAACACCGTGTTCACTTCCCGGACTCCGCCGGAAAGAGACCATCACGGTTACACACGTGGTTGATGTATTTTAATTAAGGTCAACTTCGGGTTTTCTACAACTGGACATTAACAAATTCACATCTGCCCATAACCGCGGGCACGGCTTTCGAAAGTTCAAAACCCTGCAGGGGTGTCCCAACTTAGCCCATCACAAGCTCTCACGGTCAACGAAGGATATTCCTTCTCCCAAGACAATCCGATCAGGCTTGGCATCCAGGTTACAAGACATCCTCGACAATGGTAAAACAAGTCCAGCAACACCGCCCGAATGTGCCGACAAATCCCGATAGGAGCTGCGCATATCTTGTTCTCAGGGCACACTCAGATTGTCCAAACTTCCGGTAGGCCAGCGCAGAGTTGCCCCTGGTGGCCGCCGACGGCTGACAGGTTGGACCAACACTCAGAGGAGCACTGGCCCGAGGGGGTTAAAATAATGATGACCCTTGAGTCTGCAGAACCCAAGGGAAAGAAAAGGCTAGGTGGCAAATGGTAAAATCAAGGTTGGGCATTGCTGGAGGAGTTTTATTCAAGGCGAACTGTCAAGGGGTTCCCATTATAACCCAACCGCGTAAGGAATGCAAAATCCGGGAACATAACACCGATATGACGGAAACTAGGGTGGCAACAGTGGAACAAAACACTAGGCATAAGGCCGAGCCTTCCACCCTTTACCAAGTATATAGATGCATTAATTAAATAAGAGATATTGTGATATCCCAACAAGTAAACATGTTCCAACAAGGAACAACATCTCCATGTTCCAAGAAGGAACAAACTTCATCTTCACCTGCAACTAATAACGCTATAAGAGGGGCTGAGCAAAGAGGTAACATAGCCAAACAACGGTTTGCTAGGACAAGGTGGGTTAGAGGCTTGGTTCAACAATATGGGAGGCATGATAAGCAAGTGGTAGGTATCGCAGCATAGGCATAGCAAAAGAGCGAGCAACTAGCAAGCAAAGATAGAAGTGATTTCGAGGGTATGGTCATCTTGCCTGAGATCCCGCAAGGAAGAAGAACAAGTCCATGAGGAAGACAAAGCGAACGTAGTCGAACGGATCCTCACAACTCCGGAACGAAACCGAAGCTAACGCGGGAAGCAACCCGGAAAGAAGCAAACAACATAGTAAACAACCATCACATAATCATGGCATGATGCACAACAAGTATGATGCATGTCCGGTTTATTGAGGCATGGCATGGCAAAGTGCACAAGCAATTCTACAAATTAAGTGGAGATCAATATGCAACGAGTTGCATATTGACGAAACACCACAACAAGTTATTTAGTTCGATCTCGTTTAAGTACCCAACAAAATTAAATGTTGGTTAACATGGCAAGAGGTGTAGCATAACAATCTAAACATTTAGGCAAGTTTAAATGAGGCCGGAACAACAAGCAACAATTCCGGTAAATCCCCATATGCATTTAGTAATTAATGCAAACAACAATTTTAAATGTTTAAAAGTTGTTAACATGATGCGGTTGACATGTGCAAGTTTATGCAATTATTTATTAAAAGTTGACAAGAGCATTATGAAACATTTGTCACCGTGGCGGAAAGAAAGGGGTGCCACGGCGACGAAACGGAAATGATGCCGCGGCAACATTCCGGTGATCCGGTAGCTCACGGGGATACCGGTGCAAAAGGAAATGGGTGCGTCTGTGTCAAGCAAGAAGATGGGGTGCTCCCGAATACCGGGTTCCCACATGTCGATGGCATGGCACGAGGAGGAACAACTAAGGTCCACGGGCGGATTACAACAAATAACATGCATCTCAAACAACGCGTCACATGCATACGGTCCACGGCATCGTTCCGGCGGATATACCTTCGAAGTGTGCCTTTTTGGAACGGATCAAGTTCGTAGCGGAAGTAGGCGTTCTCGCCACGTTCGTAAAGGTAGTAGTTGTACTCATGCCGTAGTGGAAGTAGTGGTTCAAGAGTCAAAGAGGAAGTAGTCGTTCATGTCCATAGATGTTCGGGGTCACGATACGGAACTTGATGTCCACAGGGTCTTCAGCGACGGTCGTGGTACACGTTTTGAAGGTGAAGTAGAGGTTCTCGTGAACACGGCGATGGTAGTCAAACTTGACGCTCCGAAGGGGTACTTGGCGGACAACGGTCATCGTGTGACTTGTCGGTCCATGAAGTCGTTCTCCCGCGTCTTGTCGTACACGTATCGGAGAAGAACTTGGTGTATCCATGTACTTGGCGTTCTGGTGTAGTAGTCGTTCTCGGGATCGGGGTCCTCATGCACTTGACGACTCCGGAAGGGGAACTTGGCACCCACAGTTGTTGTGTCCACGGCGACGAAACGACGGTAGGCAGATGCGGCATGCGGGCTGTGAAGAGGTTAGGAAGCCATGGTGGCGACAACGGCCGGAGGCAAACAAGAGGTTGACGCAGCCATCTCCTCGGGCTAAAACACAATTGGACAGGGGCACGACGACGTGACTTGGTGACACAGCGAGGCGCCACGGCCACCGGATGCAGAGGCAGAGGCGATGCGGGATGGCTGGAGGCAGGGGTCGGCGGATGAAGCAGCAACGGGCAACGACGGCGGCCGGACGGGGAAGCAGCACGGCGGCAACTCACGGCACGCCTCTACAGCCATGGCAGAGGACGAGGCAAGGGGCGGCCTCCATGGGGGACCTCCTGTCCCAGGCGCAGCAGCGGGGGCTTCGGCCTAGGTGGTCGGGGACGCGCTGCAGGATAGGAAGGAGGGAGGCGACGACGTGCTTGAGGGAGGGGACGAGGCCGGCGCTGGATTCCGGCGGGATCGAGGGAGGAGCGGGCGGCGGCCTCTTGACGCGCGGCTGCGCAGGCACCAGGCGGAGGAGACGGACGGAGCTTGGCGACGGCGAACTTGGAGACGGGGCGGCGTCGGGCGCGCAGGGCTCCTGGCATGGTGACAGCGAGGTGGGTCGAGGGCGGCGGGCGTGCGGCTCCCGGTGGAGCTCGGGCTCCCGGTGTACGGCTGGCGGTGGAGGAGAAGGACGGCATCGCTGGTGGGAGAAGGAGGTGGGGGCGCGGGCTCGCGCATGCTGGGGAGCGCCTCTCCCTAGCGATGCGTGTGGGAGCGAGAGGGAGAGGGGGTCGAGCGGTTCCTGGGACGTGCGTGGGGGTGTTGGTGGCGGTGGATGAGGACGAGAGGGAGAGGTGAGTGGGATCGGGCAGGGAGAGGGAGGTTGGTTCGCTGGGCCTAGGGTTAGAGGGGTGCGGGCCAAGGAGGGGCAAAAGAGGCCGGCTGGCCTAGGTGGGCCGAAGAGGAGGCCCAGCTGGTCTGGACTGGGGCCTCAACTCTCTCTCTCTCAAACTTATTTCTAAAACAGAAAAGAACAAAGAAGAGAAGAGAAGAAAAAGAAAGGAGGTGTTTGGGGAAGAAGTTGGACATGCGGATAAATTTTCTGGACTCACAAAAATGTGAGGAACTTAAATAAAATGGCAAGAGGGTTTTGGAGAACAATAGATTTGCACATGTTGAATTTAATTCAACATGTTTGAATTTTGAAACCCATTCCAAAGGACTCTAAATGGGCTGAGATTTTTTAGAGGAGTCTCGATAAAAGAGATGACATATATTGGCAGGGTTTGAAGGTCAAACTCGAAGAGGAATAGACATGAAAAATATTTTGCACGTGTGTTATGGGTGATTCCGAAAATGAAATATTTAATATAGCTCCCTAATATCGGGAGGATATGTTATAAAGAGAACTCATTATGTGAATTCCCTCGGTTTAAATGGACCGAAGATTCATACGGTTTATTTATTTGAGTTGCAAAAATTAATGATATGATGGCATAATGACATGATGCAATGCAAAAATAAAAGGAGCAAGCAAAAATGAAACACACGGAGAAACCCGGAAACCCTGGAAGGCAACTGAAGCTCCGGTCTTGGGGCGTCACACATTTTGAGTGTCTTTATTAAAGAAAAAATCATGTTATGTGAGGCCATTTAGAATACCGACGCTTACACCGGACGCTAGCATTAATTCATAGACCCCCTAAAAAGGATTAATTCCTAGGCCGTTAGTTATGGTTCGAGTTTGAATCGAGTAAATTGGCTAGCATCGATTCTAAAACGAGAAGGTAAGGGGCCCGCTTTCCCCTGACTATTTGTTATCTGCGTGTAAGGGTTCTCGACGTTGATCCACAACATGGAAAGGAGTGGGAACTTGAGTGGAGTACGTGTGTTCCCTGGTGCATTGCTAATGTTCCATTTGTTTTTATGATGTTGAAGAGTAAGCGTTCAAGGATATTTTTGTGCTATATGAAAAATGCTCTGGCTAAAGTAATTATAACCACAAGTGGCAAACCGAGGGCTCTAAACGCCCATGGACGCATCCAGACACATCCATGAACAGTGACCGGACAATACATAAAATTTGTCCTTCACAATTGGATCATCAAACCGAAACCTCAAATCCATATTATTCTCATGCAACGTACCTATGTAACTAAACACATGTCATCGGACTACCAAAAATACGCAGCCTACCCTGTCAGGCTGCCCAAATTTCTTTTTTGGGAAAATATGCTACAAGGGCAGCGGTTGGTGGGTTTTTTTTTGGTTCAAAACCGTATAAAACGGCTAGGCCCTAAAATAGGGCTGTCATTGAAGATACTCTAACAAGACGTCATCTGTAAGAGTTGTACATTAGATGTAAGTTTATTTTGTACTGATAAGTTTCAAACACTTTTGAGGAACAAACTATTGTTTATCAGTTTCATGGCTATGCAATTGGGAGCGATGCTCCTACATTTGAAGAAAAAAATTGTCTGGTACTACCGCAAACAGTAAACATAGCCAAGCTACACTCATCGGCAAGCTCCAGGATTATAAGAAAAATTTTCTCGGACATGCATCGCTCATGCACAGATATACAGTACAAAACATGCTACATCACGAGAAAAACCAGCCTCTTCTCGTTGGGCCGCTGCATCAAAACCCCTCCCCCCAGAAGATGTCCTGTGACCTGAACTGCAAGTCCTGCTGTAAACACACACGAGACAAGGAGATGAGTCATGAGAATTGAGAAATATGCACCAGAAAACGCGGTGGTACTCGGTGCACTTACGGGGAAGATATTCGGAGGCATTCCGAGGTCGGGGAACCCCTGAAGTGCCTCCGCGTCAAGAGGCAGGGCCTGCCCCTCAGGGTCAGGGTAGGCGGCGTCCAGGGTTCCGCCGTGTGGCAAGCATTCATCTAGGCCAGACAGTGGCGCATTCTCCAGGGCATTCGAATACGATGAGGTTCCAGCAAACCAAGAGGCCATATGGGAGAAACCCGGAGTCATTCTGGGGTCGGGCAACCCCTGAAGAGCGTCCAGGCCAAGAGGAAAAAGTTGCATCTCAGGGTACACGGAGTCCGGGGTTGCACCGCGTGACGGGCGTTCATCCGGGCCAGATAGCGCTGCGTGCTCTTCCTGCCACAATCGCAGCGGTAACATGAATGACAGTGAAATGAAGGAGTTATAAGTTATAACAGTTTACAAGGTCACCCACAAAAAAACATTTTACAAGGTGACAGCACAATACTTGAGGGGGTTATCTTAGTAGCAGAAAAAGTAAAATGCATGTCCTATTTAAGACATGATTTGGGTTCATGGAAAGACTGGCACACAAGCTCAAAGGTTTATTATAGTAATCAGGTAATGAAGGAGTTTGAAGGCTTGATAATATGCGGTATTACTCTAAGTTGTTAAGCATTGATCTTTGTATGGAACTAAAAGCTTCTGATATTTTTGTGAGACTGTTGGATGCACTCTTACCATGCAGAGAAATTTTTCATGTATAGTAGGAGTATATTGTTATTTTTGTACAGTATATTTTTTTCAAAAGGAGGATAACCTCCCGGCCTCTACATCGAGTTTGTACAGTATATAGCATCTGTACTACATGAACCTACAGTTGAGAATAAACTGTTCAAACGGTGGGATCCTAGTATTGCAAGGCATTGTTTCAGGGGCTCCCAATAATTCATCCACAGATCAATATTATTGATCCTTACTCTATAATTCTACAAGCCAAAGTATTTTATAACATGGTCCATAAAGTTAGACAAAAGCTTTCACAAAGTTGATGACAGTTTCATTGGTCAATGAAGATTTACCTGATTCTGCTCGGTTCTGGATGGGCTACTGTTTGGGGGACGAGGAAGCGGAGGGTATGTCATTGGGGTTGTAGTATCGATTTCCCCAGCAAATGGATCAGATTCTTCATTAACAGGGCACATTACAGGCTGCTCATCTTTCTTTGACTGATAAAAGACTTTGGAAACAACAGGCTCCCCGTGCTTTTCATCTTGATCTACCCCAAGGTGATACTGATGCATCGTCCAATTAGTTTTTGTACGCGAGGTGATACCGTCTTTCCTAGAACGCATCATAAGAACCAATATTTTCTTCCACCCTTTTATGACACCGTTCTTATCTGAGATTTCTTTGGATTTTCCAGTTTTCTGCCATCTGAAATGCACATCACGAACAACATGGTCACTGTTGCTAATCTTGCGACGCTTGCGCTGGCCAACATCGTATGCATTTGATATTTTATGGAAGAAATGACTCTTTCTCCCATCCATCTTGGTACCTACAGGGGTATATGAGTTAACTAACCAAGAATTACTCTGAATAGTCTGAGCTAGCTATTTAATTTAGAAGGCCATGATAATAACAAGTCTAAAATAAGAAACATGTACCAGGGAGATTTTCAGGATGTGTATAGCAGATTCCTTCAGCCTCCTCTATGGTTGGAATAAAATCATCTATTAGGTTATGGGACGGTGCCCTGCCAACCTTTCCTTCTAAATGTTCAAGCAGTTCGAGACCGGTTGGATCAAATTTAACACCAGCGGGGAGTCCTGGCCACTGTGATAAGAGCTGCAATACAAAGCATGAAGTGCCACCACAAGATTCCAAGAAATCATGATATTTTTAATGGTTGGAAACTAGAAGAGGACCGAGAATAAAAGTAAATGCAAGAGTCATGTTAAATAGTTAATGGTACTTACATCAATGTGGTATTTGCAGTTTGGGCACTCAATCTGGCTAGGCGGGGGATGAGTTGGGTTTCTTATCACCGCAACAATTGTCGTGACCAATGAACTGATGAATCTGTGAGATAAATCTATTTTAGTAATCATCTTTTGATGCCTAACAGTTAACAAATTTAATCAACAAAACATAATAAATGTAGCAACTAAGCTAAATGGATACATATGAGATAACTTTTACACAAACAGGCATCTATCTCAGTTCTAGGTTCAATCATAGGATATTAACATAGGATATTAACTGACGTAAACATATTTAAAGGGAAACGCTAATTCTCTGCCGGCTGATCGCGTGGAGAGTTCCGCCACCCGCGCAACTGTTGGATCGCCTTGATTCATGCGCTGTCACGCACGCTCGCACACAGCCTGTTATTTCCCTTGCCTACCACGTATCACTTTACTTCATCTTGCAACAACAACGGCATTGCAAACCATAGCGGCGAACGACCACTGCAACTTAGACAAGCTTTTGCCACATCAGCTCTGTTGCAAAAATACTGCAACAAAACCTCTGTTGTAAAAAAAATCTACGACAAGAACTCTGTTACAAAAAAGTCCCATGACACAACCTATGTTGCAAGAAATATATCTGCAACATAACCTTTGTTGTAAATGTTTCTGCAACAAGACCTTTGTTGCGAAGTAGGGGGAGACTTTGAGCCACTGGATTGTGCCACATCCAACGACTCGTGAGGCGGCAGATCTTTTTAAAAGATCCGCGGGCCAACGCGTAGCTGCCCCCATATTTAAAGCCAACGAATCAAGGATATTCATGTTCACTAACTCGAAGAAAAATCATAGGAATGAAGATATAATTAATTATGTACAAATTATGATAAATTTGATAGATTAACACTTGTTTGCAAATCTTTTTCCTTGCATTGCTATTTTCAACGTATTTAGCCAGAGACAAAAATATAAATTCAATTGCATTGTTATGTTTCAGAAGAAACAGGAGAGTACGTAACGCAGAGCAAGCCCATTGATCTGCACAGCCAATGATTTAAACAACAAGCAACATATCGAATGATGATCAGGTTGGCAGAGTGTCACCGACAGTTTGCAGCGAGCAGCAGTGGAATCTATGGCGCTCCCGTTAAACCTGCAGCAAACAGAAACCTGAATAAGTTAAATCCTGAATCAGCAAACATTAAACAGCGAGGCTAAGCAGAAGAGTTGTGAATAAGTTTTCGCTGGCAGATAGAGATGGAGGGCCCAACAGCGAACATGTTCGAGATGGCACACAGGCAAGTCGATGATCCAACAGCACAAATCTGCAATTTCTCTACCCCCGTCATCTTACTCCTTGGCCGCTACCACTACCAGGGCCGAGAGCTTGTAACAACAGAAGCATCTTCGCTGTGACCAGAGCAGTCTCCACTAAACAGAACAGAGCAAAACGGAACAGAACCCTTGTCTGCTTCCTCCTCCACCACCACCTCAAGCAGATCGTGAAACCCCTGCACCGCCGCTGCGACGACGAGTAAAACCGGGCCGGATTCACGACGGCGGCGCGGAGGCGCTCACGACATCTCGGCTTTCGTCTTCTTTTTCCCGAGAACTTCACTGCTTCCTTCGAGATGAAGACCCCTCCGCCGCCATCGTAGTCCCAAAAAGGAAAAACCGCACCGCCACTGCAACTACGAGGGAAACCTGGCCGGAATCACGTCGGCGGCGTCACACTGGGCTGCTCTGCTCTCCGACGATCTCACTCATCGCTCCCTCAAACTGACATCTCCTCTGCCACGCGCTCAAGCTAAGGTTATCAGCATCCGGCCTCCTCCAAAACCACGCACCCGAATCCACCACTCGCCGAACAATCGCGACGCCCCTCCGGATGAAGCCGAAACCCAGCCCCCTCAAGACACAGATAATACCCCCAGACCGCGTGCGTGAGAAGATAAAACAAACAAGATCCAGAGCAGCAGCAAAAAGAAAAAAAAAAGGACAGAGAGGACGAGCGGAGAGTTGGAGACCAGAAACAGAGGCCGACGCGGCGTACTTACGCTGCCGATGCCATGGCGGGCGCACGGCTGCGCCGCGACGGCAGGATTGGGGATGGCGGTGAGAAACTTGAGAGCGGAACGGGGAGCGAGAACCGAGAAGAGAGGAGTGTGCGAGGAGGAGCAGGCAGGGGGGAAGTGTCCGAGCCTGCGGTGTGCGCGGCACTAAATAGGCGACGGCTGAGAAGACGCGGACCGGGACCACCGGCGCCTGTGGGAAATGTTTTGTCCACTGCAGCAAGCAAACCCCCCCTGCTCTGTAGGCTCGGGAGGGCTGGGAGCTCCTGGGTTCGGTCGCTCCGCGGGAAACTGGGCTTGGACGTGGACTTGGTTTGCCATGGGTGTCTTTGCTTATTATTCTTTTCAACGAGAGGGAAACTCTGTGAGAAGCCTTTTGCGATCAGTACTTTTTTGCCTAATACTCTAAGAAATAGCAGTATGCTTTTTTTGACAGGCTAAAAAAGAGTAGTACTTTTTGCACTACAAGGGAGTGTTTTCATGACAAGAGAGGATTATCTATCTCTTGGTAAGCAAGGGAAGTGAGTTATACCATGGAATGAAAACAAGACTTTGTCCAATTCCCTCAAAAGTGGTCCATCCATACTACTTCATTCCAAAAAGAAGTTGCGAAAACTGCGTGCACCGCGCGGGGGGCGGGGG